ACTGAGTTAAAGAATACTTTTTATTCACCATAGTATTATAGTACAAATCATGGGAACATTTGGAAGATTTCACTACAGTCCTGTACTGAGTTAAAGAATACTTTTTATTCACCATAGTATTATAGTACAAGTCCTTGGAACATCTGGAAGATTTCACTACAGTCCTGTACTGAGTTAAAGAATACTTTTTATTCACCATAGTATTATAGTACAAGTCCTTGGAACATCTGGAAGATTTCACTACAGTCCTGTACAGAGTTAAAGAATACTTTTTATTCACCATAGTATTAAAGTACAAATCTTTGGAACATCTGGAAGATTTCATTACAGTCCTGTACAGAGTTAAAGAATACTTTTTATTCACCATAGTATTAAAGTACAAATCTTTGGAACATCTGGAAGATTTCACTACATTCCACACGCTGACTCTTGCAATGGTCCAAAAATCTTCTATATTAAGAATTACTATTTTCAGTAGTAAACAGCTAATATTGGTTGAACACGGTTTTCAAGAGTAAAGTATGAATCACATTTTCATTAGAAACTAGAGAAGCTTAACATTACAGGAGTGACAATACATGTTAAATAGAGTTTTTGGAAAAAGAAAATATCAAGTTTCTAATTTATGCTTAATATTTCAATCACTGTTTGTTAACATAAATTTATACAATATAGTGATATGGCCTTGAATCAAAAACAATTGTCCTACTCAAGGAGTATGCAGTGCAAAGCAGATCTGGTTACCTTTCCACAATAATATTTAGTAAACAAACCGACTCTGACAGAATAAGCTATTTTATTTGAACAACCAGCTTAAGTAGATTTTCACCCATCAACAATACCTTGAAGTCAAAGTTTCTCCACAATATTCTAAGTCATGTTCAAAATAATGTTTTTGATGTATGAATTTTACATGTATCCCTCTGATGCTAAGGATATCATAAAGTTGAATATTACAGATGACTTTCTTTGGCAATTTTATTACAACAAGGTAGTATTTATGAATATGAAAGTAATAAACTTCAATGTTCGAAAGAATTAGAACCTTCATTAAAACAGATAATCAACAGAACTACTGGAAAACAATGACAATAAAATAATTACAAAACACTGATACATCATCTGAAATTGAGAGTGAAGTCACAGAATTGAAAGCTAAAAGAAATCTGAAACAAGTGAACTTTCTGAACTTCGTGTTAAAAATTCTCTCTAGGAGCAACAATTTTGTCTTTGAAAAAAAGCATATGGGAGGATTTGAATTTTTTTCAACAAATAAAACAAAATTTTTGGAAAAAAAGTTTTACAATATCAAACCAATATTAAAATACCATATTTTAATTCTAGACTGTGAAACAATGAACCCTTGAAAAAGGCCTAAGGTCAGTAAAATGGTTATTTTCTTTTGAATTTCATGCAAAGCTACATGAGGGCTGTCTGTGCTAGCTGTCCCTAATTTAGCAGTGAAAGACTAGAGTGAAGGCAGCTAGTCATCACCACCAGCTTTTGAGCTACTCTTTTACCAAGGAATAGTGAGATTGACTGGAACATTATAATGCCCCTCAGTTGAAAAGGCGAACGTGTTTGGTGGGATGGAGATTTGAACCCACAGCTCTGAGATTGCGAGTTAAACACCCAGCCATGCCAGGCCCTAAAATGGTTGATACTGTGTTATTTATGACATCACTTGTGCTACGTTTGTAATGCTATATAACAAACCAACAATCACAGAAAATATAGTCCTAAAAATATTATCACAAACTTCATTGCTCCAATTCAAGCTAAATGGTCCCCATCATAATCTAACTTTGCTTAGAAATGAATAATGTTCTTAATAAAATATATTTCCACTTGTTAAACAGCTGCTGTTAATTTGATTATACTTCTCAACTATAAAGCTGTTTACAGATTTTTTTATATTCACACAATAGAAAGCAACCAGGCAGGTAAAAAAACTATGAAATAAGAGAAATGTCTAAGACATTGTTTTTACTACAAAACTTAAGGGTTCAATGAAGTAGTTTTGTCGGCTGAATTCCAAGATGAAAATCTTTCATTCTTAATTGAAAAAAAAATTGAGTTAGATAAAAAAACATTTCTACGTTTAAAAACATAATACAGCTTATAATAGTAAAAAAATAAGATGAAAAGTTTGAATTTTGACCGATATTTGCTTCAAAAGAGCACTGGATTGATAGCTGTTGTTTACTGGAATGTTTAGAACTGATTCAAACCTCCTGAAAGGAATGCCTATACAAACCCTAAAGATTTCTGCAGAGTCTGTGAATACATTACTCTCAATTTTAGCCCATTTGTAGCAAGGTTAACTTGTTCTACTAACAAATATGGATCCATATTATACAACTGTTCCAGTCTGTATGGTTTTAAAAGTGCACCATATAAAGACAATTAAATGTGAAGTATCTTTAAACATCTTGTAATTTTTGTATTGTTAAAGTTTAATAAGACTGACTCTGCCTGAAACTCTAAGCAAAAATTGAAAAATATCAGTAACTACACAAGGAGAGATCTCGTACAAAAACTAAAACAGTATTCAGAAATTAAGTAATAATCACACATATGTTATATAAGAATAAACATAATACATTGATTAGACTGGTCATTTAGAATAACTGTTACTAGACTTTTGAGGAATGAAAATTAAAGTTAGCACTTCCCTTTAAGGACGTTATTTCTGAAGAATATGTTTCACAGTGCACATATATTCAAAAATAACTATTTAGTGATATAAGTATACACATATAAAGAAATCCTTTAGTTACAGATTTAGTATTTATCTATGTTGATTCATGCTTAATTGTATGATTAAAACATAAAAGCTAAGTGAGGTCTATATCTGTTCTGATACGAGGAGGATTCTGAAAGGATGCATTTTATATTACTACTATACCACTTATTTTGATATAATGAATATATTAAGATGAAACCAGTCCATTTCTATCATATCATTATAAAGTATTAAAAATATTTGTCATAGTTACACATTGTGGATGTCACCAACATTAATTTCACGGTGTTTCTAAGCACGCACTACATTGTCATCAACACTAATTTCATGGTGTTTCTAAGCGAGCACTAGGGACTCACAAAAAATAGTTTTTTTCTATTTCTAACCTCAAAAATATTTTTTTTCTTTAAAAGTCCTAAAGTACAAAATCATAAAACTCTCATACAAAAGTTAAAGCATTTCAGAATGAAATTCTAAAAACTACTCTGAATTTCAGTTAAAAAATCTGGAATTTTATTTTCTACCCTGGATAAGCTTACTTTATAGCAATATTTAGAAACCTAGTTCTGGTAAACTGCTTGAAACATGCCTGTTGATATACTCCTTAAAAATGTTGAAATATCTGAGTTTTCAACACAAAATTATACTTTGTCATTACTGTTGTTTTCCCTTTCAGCTTTTAGAACACAACTCTGTATAAGGTTGAATTAGCCTACTTTAATACATTAATCTAACCTTGATGATGGATGAAAACAGATATTAAATGTAATAAACGTTTCTATTATGATGTTTTTCTTGTAAATGACTCATCAAGGAATTATGGGTTTTTTTTGTGATTAAAGTGGTTTTTCTTTTAAAAATTAAATTAACATTTCCTGTCAGTGAAGTTATCGCTAATATACTGACATGATGATTTGGTGCTAATTTAAATCTCACACAAGGTTTTTGAAATATGAAAGAAATATTTGCTATATTTTAACCCTTTCCATCCTCGTGGCATTATTCTAGCAGTTCTATGTTTGTATTAATAAAAATTAATAACTCATAAACAAAACTGTATCTGAAACACTTAATACATAAAGTACGATAACCATTAAATTATTCTGAACCTAAATATTTTTTCTTTGTTATAAATTTACAACTTCTAATGAAGTAAAAATTACTACATGACTTAGCTTTAGATGATGGCATTGCAGAACATGCCCATAACAGTTGGTCTGATATCTACATTTCACACACTCTTCTTAGTAATCAAAGGCCTAATGCACTTTGTTGAAAGGAATTCTACAATAAAATATCTGATAGATCACTAAAACTAATATCAATAAGTAACATTCACATTACCATATCATATTTATAAAGTTAACTCTGTAATCATTATGTACAGTTATGTTATCTGAATTAAGGCATCTGACAGAGGAAAACTTTTGACTTAATGAGTAAAAACTCAAGGACGAAAGGGAGCTTTACAGCAGTAATTGAACTAATAGGAAGAAAACAATCCCAGCTTTCAGATGATATTGTTATCATTTGGTTAGTTTTAGAAGTTTGAAAGTCCTAAGACAAAAAATTCAGTTAGTTGAATTTTACAGTGCTTGACATTACAAAAGTAACAAACCTGTACACAGATTTGAAGCTTTGTTTTCTATGGTGTTAAGTTTCATCTATGCAGACAGGAAGTTTAAACGTTTTTACTACCCAAATAAAAATTACATCAGGGTTACCATTAGGAATTTGTTTTTATTACTTTATCCAAAACAAATGTTAATAATATGTATAAACTCTAAATCTGAACAACAGTTTTATTTCGTGGATGATTTCAGGAAAGAAGTTAGAGAGAATTTTTTAAAATTTAATGACATCATTTGCCCTTGCAAAAAACACAAGATTTTGGGCTGGAAAGAATTAATAGATATCTAAGATATTTAAGAAACAAATCTAACAGTTTTAGATGAAAAAGTTGGCAGTTTCAAGAGATAAATCACCAGAAATGAGCATTAAATATTCATGTGATTATAAAGTAGTACTAATATCTACATTGTGAAGGCTACTAAAGCACCATCTATATATATTCTTCCCTGTGGTAGACTAATCATTAAAAGTGAAAACAATGTTTCTAATGATATCATTTTGTTGAATACCAAAGAAAAAGAGTGTCTTGTTCAGAATCCATTATTATCCAATCAAAAGTTGAATGATCATGAACATGTGTGGTAATGTACTGTATGAAGATTAGTGTTGCTTGTTCATTAATGGGCATGTGTCACTAGACTACAACAGTTTTAATCTTCCCGCTCTTTTCTAAATAACAGCTGTCTTAGTTACAGATCTACAGTGTTAATCAGAGGAATCTACAAGAATTGACCTATAAAAGAAGTGAAAAACAAACAGTTTTTTTTAAAAAAAGGTTTACAGAAGTACCAGATTCAGTAAAATAGATGAGAAATAGTTAATATATAAAAATAGTTTAAGACATATTTATAAACATCAGTAGGTAACATTTTGAATGCCATCAGTGGATGAACAGTTTCATATAAAATAAAAAATATAATAAAAAAATAGTAAAACATAGAATACTTCATATCTTTAACAAATTAAGATCAACTGTTCAGTGTAAATAATTTACCTACTGGAATTTTCAATAAAATCTTTTAACAACTCCTAAAAACAGCAATAAGTATATAAATAAACACAATGCACTGCAAGCATTCAAGTACAAATGTGAAGTGCCAACGTACAATACAAATATGGCCATCGTTTACAACCACACACAAGAACATCATACTCTATTCTCCGATGACATTATATATTTTGTTTAGGTAGCAGCGACAGGAAGAGTTTGCTTGTGCTGTTTCTTCTTTCATTAGGTCTACCTTCTGGCGAATTCTTTTCTGATAACTTTAATAAGAAACCAAAAAAAAGATGTAATTATAACAAAAACACACACCGGAAAATAATACTTGCAACAATTAAAAATAGGAGGAGAAAAATACAATTCACAGAAAATTAAACAACTGGTTTAAGTTTCTTCCTGAATTGCTTGTACAAGTTTAAATCAAATATAAGTGTTGAATGTTTTGCTATTGCTTATATCTAATACTATTAGCTTTAAAAATTAATCTGATTGTTTGTGATTATTCTAAAGAATAGTAATCAATATTAACTTCCAATCAAAGCAAGTTACCTATTTGTAGCTAAACTGGAAATCAACCCAGTAATGAGTATTGAGCTAATTAATTATATTTTTCTTGCATTCTTACTTATAAAGATTGGAAAGCATTGTTTCATAAGTTGGGTACCCTTGCTGTTAATGATTTATTACAGGTAGAAGTTAAAGCATCGTGTGACCTAATATAAAATCTGCTTAGCAACTTACAGTTTCAAAGACAATCAATTCTCCACTTTTTATACAAAGTGTTTAAACAGTGGAGTTTTATAAGTAGAATTATAATTTTAATTTAATGATGATAACAGATAATATTAAGAAACATAACTGAGGGTACTTCAGTAGTGATAGTTACTCTGAGCAACTCTATCCTCTAGGTATTAGCATAAGAAACCAAATCATCATCCAATTCAACAAGACAGGAGCAGTCCAATACACATTTCAAATCTACAATGACTATGTTGCCTAAAATATCAATGAAAGAATGTAAATATGTCTCTAGAATGTAATATAATAAAATCATTGTATATAATTTAGATGAAATCAAATAAATAATGTTCAGCAACTAACAACCAATGTGTATTAAAAACACATCGCTTCTGAGTACTAGCTAACTCCCTCATGAATAGTTTATTTATCAATTAGAAATTATCATATATGAAATTAAGGAAATATGTCAAATAATCAATATTTTACATTTTATAAAAAGGCACACTTTATCGACATTTGAGATATGAGAAGAATCTTACCTTCGATTATATCTTGTTTCATTTTTATAATTTCCTTCTTCATTTCTGTTAATATTTCCTGTTTCAGTTTGTCAACATCTACCGAGTGATTTCTGTTAGCTCTACGCTTGTCTCCACTTTCTAGCAACTCTAAGAGATTCCTGTTATATTTAACACATAAAAAAAGAATGGTAACTACATTACTTAACACGTAACACAAAAATGGTGACTACATTACTTAACACATAACACAAAAATGGTGACTACATTACTTAACACATAACACAAAAATGGTGGCGACATTATTTAACACATAACACAAAAATGGTGACTACATTACTTAACACAGAACATGAATCATAACACCATTATTGAACATGTAACACAATAAAGATGACTAAATCATTTAATGCATAATACAAGAAATGTGACTATATTATTGAACACATAACATTATAACCATGACCCTGCTGTTTACCAAGAACAGATCAGTAACTACATTAAATAAATATAACAATATGCACATGCAGAAATTGGGCTTATGATGTTCACATCATAAGCCAGTTGTTTTAGTATTTTAATATTTCACAATGTTGCCATTATATGTATTTTATTCTGTTACTTAAAATTTTCAAATTAAAAAGAATAAAGGTTTCCTATTTAAAGTTTTTTGAAATATCACAATATATTCAATACAAATCAATATGTTTTATTATAATTTTACAGAATCTTTATAATTTCTCAACTTCCTAATCTTCTCAGTGAGCACAGTTATGTTATTCACTTACTATTCCTAAAATCTGTAATCTTAGATAATACTACCATTAAATACACTCACTACTCACCTGGAAGACTCTGAACCACCACGTTTTTCAGGACTTAAACCATTAACAGAACTCAGTCGTCCCCAAGACCTCTTTCTCTCTACACCTTGTCTGGTGATCTCTTCATCCTGGTGTTAGAAAAGTTAAAAAACTATCATTGCAGAGGTTTTGTTTAAAATACTTGGTTGAGATTTTTATAAACTAGTTTTGTAAAGTGAAAGCTTAAAGTATGAATAATCAAGAACACATACCAGGTCACATGAAAAAAAAAAAGAATTAAACATTTTAGCTAAATGATAAAAATACTTATTGATCCTCTATCACACACACATATAAAATTTTTTCACAAAATTAAATCAAATGGTGATGTTTTTCCTTACTAATATTAACAGTGTACTCGATGTGTTCCCAAAACCAAATTGAAAACAATATTAACACTTGAGGAAAAACAAAATAAGAAATATTCATAACAATAAACATATTAAAAGTGAGTTAAAGTTTAGAATTTGTAGCATTCCTTATATTAGAATAGAGTTCAAAATCAACTATTTTAAACATTTCATCTACAAACATCACATTTTTTAACATTTGAAACCCAATAGTTTTGTATAGCACCCTGCCAACAATAAATTATTCAATAGTTGAAACCCACCAGTTTTCGCATGATACTCTACTAACAATAAATAATTCATCAGTTGAAACCTACCAGTTCTTGTATAGCATTATACCAACAATAAATTAGTCAACAGCTGAAACCCACCAGTTTTGGTATTTTGATGTACCAACAATAAATTATTCAACAATGGAAACCAAACAGTTTTAGTATTTTAATCTACCAACAATAAATTATTGAACGGTAGATATCAACTAGTTTTTGTATAGCACTCTACTAACAATAAATTATGTGCTATACAAAAACTTATAGGTTTCAACTGTTGAATAATTTATTCTTGGTAGAGAACTATACAAAAACTGGTAGGGTTTCAACTGTTGTATAGTTTGTTTTTGGTGGAATGAAATACAAAACTGTTTGTTTAAAACTATTGAATAATGGTAAGGTGCTATGCAAAAACTGGTTGGTTTGAATTGTTGAATAATTTATTGTTGGCAGAGAGCTATACAAAAACTGTTTTGTCTTTATTGTTGAATAACTTATTGTTGGTAGAGTGATATATAAAAACTTATAGGTTTCAACTGTTGAATAATTTATTGTTGGTAGAGAAACTATAGTAAAACTGGCGAGTTTCAATTGTTCAATAATTTATTGTCGGTATAATGCCATAAAAGAACTGGTTGGATTCAACAGATGAATAATTTATTGTTGGTAGAGGGCTATACAAAAACTGGTGGGTTTCAACTGTTAAACTACCAACAATAAATTATTCAACAGTTGAAACCTATAAGTTTTTGTATAGCCCTCTACCAACAATAAATTATTCAACAGTGGATACCAAACAGTTTTCGAATTTTACTCTATCAACAGTAAATTATTCAATAGTTGAAACAAAACAGTTTTCGTATTGTACTGTACCAACAATATATTTTTCAATAGTTCAAACCAACCAGTTTTTGTACAGCGCTCTACCAACAATAAATTATTGAACAGTTGAAACCCACCAGTTTTTGTATAGCCCTCTACCAACAATAAGTTATTCAACAGTTGAAACGCACCAGTTTTAATATTTCGATTTACCAGCAATAAATTATTGAAAATTGAAACCCACCAGTTTTATATAGTACTCTACCAACAATAAATTATTCAACAGTAGAAATAAAAGAGGTTTAGTTTTCAATTTACCAACAATAAGTTATTCAGCAGTTAAAACCCACCAATTTTTATAGAACTTTACTAACAATAAATTATTCAACAATTGAAACCCACAAGTTTTTGTATAGCACTCTACCAACAATAGAAACCAAACAGTTTTTGTATAGCACTCTTCCAACAATAAATTATTCAACAGTTGAAACTCACCAGTTTTATTATCTTACTCTACCAACAATAAATTATTGAACAGTTGAAACCCACCAGTTTTAGTATTTTACTCTTTCAACAATAAATTATTCAATGGTTGAAATCCACCAATTTTAGTATTTTACTCTACCAACAATAAATTATTTAATAATTGAAATCCACCAGTTTTAGTATTTTACTATACGAAGAATAAATTATTCATTGGTTGAAACCTACCACTTTTTGAATATTACTCTACAAACAATAAATTATTCAACAGTTGAAACCTACCAGTTTTTGTATAGCACTAAACCAACAATAATATATTAAACAGATGAAACCCATACGTTTTTGTATAGCACTTTATGAACAATAAATTATTCAACCATATAAACGAAACAGTTTTGGTATTTTTAATCTACCAACAATAAATTATTCAATAATAGATACCAAACAGTTTTGGTATTTAAATCTACTAACAATAAATTATTCAACAGTTGAAACCCATCAGTTTTGGTATTTAGATCTACCAACAATAATTTATTCAACAGATGAAACTCATACGTTTTTGTATAGCACTTTATGAACAATAAATTATTCAACCATAGAAACGAAAATGTTTTGGTATTTTAATCTACCAACAATAAATTATTCAACAATAAATACCAAACAGTTTTGGTATTTAAATCTACTAACAATAAATTATTCAACAGTTGAAACACATCAGTTTTGTTATTTTGATCTACCAACAATGAATTATTGAAAAATTGAAACCCACCAGTTTTGATATTTCCATCTACCAACAATAAATGATTAAACAATTGAAACCCACCAGTTTTTATATAGTACTCTTCCAACAATAAATCATTCAACAGTTCAAACCCATCAGTTTTTGTATTTCAATCTACCAACAATAAGTTATTCAACAGTTCAAACCCACCAGTTTTAATATATCCATCTACCAACAAGAAATTATTCAACAGTGGAAACCAAACGGTTTTTGTATGGCACTCTACCAACAATAAATTATTCAACAATTGAAACACAACAGTTTTTATATAGTACTCTACCAACAATAAATTATTCAACAGTGGAAGCCAAACAGTTTTGTTTTTTTTAACCTAACAACAGTAAGTTACTGAACAGTTGAAACCCACCAGTTTTTGTATGGCACTCTACCAACAATAAATTATTCAACAGTTGAAACCCTCCAGTTTCATATAGCCCTCTACAAACAATAAATTATACATCGGTTGAAACCTACCAGTTCTTGTATAGCATTATACCAACAATAAATTATTCAACAGTTGAAACCCACCAGTTTTATTATCTTACTCTACCACCAATAAATTATTGAACAGTTGAAACCCACCAGTTTTAGTATTTTACTCTACTAACAATAAATTATTTAATGGTTGAAATCCAGCAGTTTTAGTATTTTACTCTACGATGAATAAATTATTCATTGGTTGAAACCTACCAGTTTTTGTATAGCACTAAACCAACAATAATTTATTCAACAGATGAAACCCATCCATTTTTGTATAGCACTCTATGAACAATAAATTATGCAACCATAGAAACTAAACAGGTTTGGTATTTTAATCTACCAACAATAAATTATTCAACAATAGATACCAAACAGTTTTGGTATTTTAATCTGCTAACAATAAATTATTCAACAGTTGAAACCCATCACTTTTGGTGATTCGATCTACCAACAATAAATTATTCAGAAGTTGAAACCCACCACTTTTAATATTTCGATCTACCAGCAATGAATTATTTAAAAATTGAAACCCACCAGTTTTGGTATTTCGATCTACTAAAAATAAAATATTCAACAGTTGAAACCCACCAGTTTTAATATTTCGATCTACCAACAATAAATTATTCAACAATTGAAACCAACCAGTTTTTATATAGTACTCTTCCAACAATAAATTATTCAACAGTGGAAGCCAAACAGTTTTGGTTTTTTTAATCTACCAACAGTAAGTTACTGAACAGTTGAAACCCATCAGTTTTTGTATGTCACTCTTCCAACAATAAATTATTCAACAATTGAAACCCACCAGTTTTGTATAGCTCTCTACAAACAATAAATTATTCAACAGTTGAAACCCACTAGTTTTTATACAATACTCAACCAACAACAAATTATTCAACAGTTGAAACCAACAACTTTTTGTATAGCACTCTACCAACAAAAGAAACCAAACAGTTTTTGTATAGCACTCTTCCAACAATAAATTATTCAACAGTTGAAACTCACCTGTTTTATTATCTTACTCTACCAACAATAAATTATTGAACAGTTGAAACCCACCAGTTTTAGTATTTTACTCTTCCAACAATAAATTATTCAATGGTTCGAACCCACCAGTTTTAGTATTTTACTATACCAACAATAAATTATTTAATGGTTGAAATCCAGCAGTTTTAGTATTTTACCCTGCGATGAATAAATTATTCATTGGTTGAAACCTACCAGTTTTTCTATATTACTCTACAAATAATAAATTATTCAATAGTTGAAACCTACCAGTTTTTGTATAGCACTAAACCAACAATAATTTATTCAACAGATGAAACCAATCCGTTTTTGTATAGTTCTCTACCAACAATAAATTATTCAACAGTTGAAACTCACCAGTTTTATTATCTTACTCTACCAACAATAAATTATTGAACAGTTGAAACTCACCAGTTTTATTATCTTACTCTACCAACAATAAATTATTGAACAGTTGAAACTCACCAGTTTTAT